GAGGCTGACTCCTTCCAAGGTCAGCACTGAGGGTGCAGAGACCCCACCAGAAGACCTGCCTTCTAAGGAGGAGCCTGCGTTTAACAGATGGAAATGTGGGTACTTGGGCCCCAGAGAGACACGGGTTCAAATCCAGGCCTGACAACTCCCCAGCAGTGACAGCCCTTAGCTCTCGAATTGGTAAATGAGGCACAAGACTGAGCCTTGTGTGCAGGGACCGCAGCACAGGGTCTGCCCACAGTGGACGCTCAGTCACATTGCCCAGTGTAGCATGATGTTTACCTCTGCCTGGCTACTGCCCAGGCCTCATCTCATCCTCCACCCCAAACCTCCACAGAGGAGCTGGGCCCACCTGGGCTCTCCTGGGCCAGTGACCCTCCCAGGTGGATAAGTGTTCTGCAGGGGTCCCACACTTGGTCAGGAGATGTGGACCTGATCCTGGCTCTTCCTCTGTATGACAGATAATCACAGACTCATGCAAGAAAGCACTCAGGGACAGGGTGTGGGTGCTGAGGCCTCTCCAGCCCATCGTTCAACCTCCAGCATCACTCCACACTGGAGGGAGATCCCACTCAGAGATTGCCTGGCACTCGTCTGAGGTCACACAGTGTGTTTGTGGCAGGGCTGGGACTGGCATACACAGGGCTCCAACTCCCTCCCAGTAGAGTAATAAGGACTTAGAAAACATGTGTGGACTGAGGCTGTATTTCTTCATTTCTCTGAGGTGCTGGGGATGGATCCCAGGGCCAGCACCTGCTCAGCAAGCTCCCTTCCACTGAGCTCCAGCCCAGTTTCTGCTTTTACCTTCCTGGGACATCAGGCCCTAGTAACCACTAGGAGTAGATTTCCCATCTGACTGGTGAGCAAGTAGCCTGTGGTTCAGAGAGGCCATGTTAGTTCCCCAAGGTCACACAGACAATGAGAGGTTACATGCTGGCTGGCCCAGGATGAGGAGAGCAGTCGCAGTTTGGCCATGTCACATGGGGACACCATCCCAGCCCACCCCTCTCAGCAGCGTGGGGCTGGAGGCTGCCCTGGGTGGGCCATGGTGTTTGGGTGCGGCAATGTGTGTGCTTCTGCTGGAGAGTTAGAAGCACTGCCTCTAACAGCATCTGCCTCGTGCTCTCCAAGGTGGGCACTCTACAGGAAGGTGCTCCTGCAGTCCTCTCAACCATCTTATGGGGGCGGGGGGGCATCACCCCTGTTCCACAGATGAAAAAACCAAGGCACAGTGGCTAAATATGGTGAATATTTCATTTTTTAAAAATTATTACAGCAAAAGACACATTGCCAGTAATCCCCCTCTAAGTACTTCCTGTCTAAATAGCCCTCTCCCTTTTAGCATACTTACTCCATTATTTTCACTTTCTGAAGCAGTTCTGGAAGTCCTCTTTCCTGAGCAGCTTTTTGTATGTATGTGTGTGTGGGGGGGGTTATACTTAAAAATCTTTCATTTTTTATTTTGCAGTACTATGTTTACATTCATCTTAGGGAGTGGGTACATGTACTTAACATACCTTCATTTTTTATTCCCCTTCTCCTTCCTCCCTTTTTCCCCCTCCCTCCATCTCTAGATCTCCTTCCCATTTACAAAGGATCTATTTCCCTGTTTCTTATTGTCTGTCTTTTGTTTTTTAAAATTATTTATACTTTGGGTTTCTCATGTAAGTTATGTGATACTTAAGCTTATGTGTCTGATTTCTTTCACGTAACATTATAGTCTCAAAGTGCATCCATTTTCCTACAAATGACTCCAACTTATCCTTTATGGCAGAGTAGCACTCCATTATATATAAATTCCACATTTTTATCCATTCATCTGTTGATGGATATGTAGGCTGTTTCCAAGACTTGGCTATTACGTGATGTGCTGCTATAAACTTAGGTATGCATGTATCACTGTAGCATGTCTTTAACTCTTTTGGGAAGAGACCTGGAAGGGGAAAATTGGGTGGAATGAAATTACTAGTTGTAGTTTTTTGAGGACTCTTCATACTAATTTCCATAGTGGTTATACCAGTCCACATACTCAACAACAATGAAGAACGACAACCCCCCCCCCGCCCTTCTCAGCCTTGCCAGCATTTGTTATTGTTTGATATTTTGATGATGGCCATTCTTTCTGGAGTAAGATGGAACCTCAGTGTCATTTTAATTTGCATTTCTCTAATGACCCAGACATGCTAAACATTTTTTCTTGTATTGGCCATTTTTATTTCTTTTGAGAAGTGTCCATTCATTTCAGATGCCCATTTTTTGGTTGGGTCTTTTATTTGGAGGGAGTCTGCTTCTTTTTTAGTTCTTTGTAAATTCTAGACATTAATTCCCTGTCAGAATAGTAGCTAGCAAAACAAACAAAAAACAACTTTTCCATTCTGCAGATTGTTTCTGTTGATCGTTCCCTTTGCTGTGCAGAAGCTTTTTTATTTGATGTGATCCCATTTGTTGATTCTTGATGCTATTTCTTGTGTAATTGGGGTTCTGCTCATAAACAGAACTTTTCCTGTGCCTATGTCTTCAAGAGTTTTCTCTATTTTATCTTCCAGCAGATTAAGTGTTTCTGTTTTAAGATCTATGCCTTTGATCCATTTTTATTTTGTGGTGCCTGGTGAGAGATATGGGTCTAGATTCACTCTTCTGCATGTGTGTAACAAGTTTTCCTAGACCACTTGATAAAGAGGCTGTCTTTTCTCCAGCGTATTCTTTAGGTCCCTTTATCAAAGATAGGTAACTTAATATGCTTGGGGTTGTTTCTTCATCCTCATTTGTTTCATTGACCTGCATGTCTGTTTTTGTGCCAGTACCATGTTGTTTTTATCTCTGTAGCTTTGTAATATAACTTGAAATCTGGGATTGTGAAACTTCCCACTTTGTTTTTGTTGCCCAGGATTGCTTTTGCTATTCTGGGTGTCTTCTGGTTCCATATAAATCTTAGGATAATTTTTCTAGTTCTGTCAGAAATGCTGTTGATACTTTGATTGGGATTGCATTAAATCTGTATATCAGTTTTGGTAATATGTCCATTTTGACAGTCTTGGTTCTGCCTGTCCAGGAACAGGGGATCTTTCCATTTTCTGATACCTTCTTCAATCTCCCTTTTTCAGAATATAGTTTTCGTTGTAGAGATTCTTTCACTTCCTTGGTTAGGTTAATTCTTAAGTACTTAATTCTTTTTGATGTTCCAAGTGTTTTTAGTTGTGCTGTCCTGGCTGCCTCAATGTCCTGAATCAACTCAAAACATTCACCTTTCATGGTCATTTTGACTTTTGGAAAGAGCCAGAAATTGCACAGTGCCAGATCCAGTGCATAAGGTGGATATGGATACATTGTAGTGTTTTTATGAACCTGCCTCTTCAGCATGTGGCAGCAGCATTCACCATATTTTTTATCGTGCCTCATAAAGATACTCATGAAAGAGGACTTCCAGGCTAGGCTTAGTGGCTCACACCTGCAATCCCCTCACTCGAGAGTCTGAGGCAGGAGGATTACTGTGAGTTTGAGGCCATCCTGGGCTATGTAGTGAGTTCAAGGCCAGCCTGGGCTACAAAAGGGGGACCCTGTCTCACAAACAAAAAAAGAGGACTTCCAGAACTGCTTCAAAAAGTGGTAAGAGCAATGGGATGTGTGTGTTTAAGTGAAGGAAAATATTTTGAGGAAGATTCCTTGCAACGTGTCTTTTGCCGTAATATTTTTTCTATTTAACACACACCATTTTTTTTTTTTTTTTGTACTGGGGACTGAACTTGGGACCTTGTGCTCACACACCATATTTTTTATTAGCACTTGGATCCATGCAGCAGTTAAGTAGTGCAGCTAGGATTCAAACTCAGGATTGTCAGTGTCAGTCCTCATTAGCAGGATTGTGACCATCATTGCCACCAAACCCAACTGCTTTAAATTATTAGAAAGGTCCAAAACTCCCAAAGGAATCAAAATATAGCTTTCAGGACCCCACACGATGATGCTGTTTACCAGCCATAGGGAGCAGCTGCTGGGCCTGAGCCCTGGCCCTCTCCAGGAGCACGTGTTGCCTGGCCACAATGATCCTTTCCTTCCTGAGCTTAGAGCTTCCAGCTTGGTCCCTACTCCCAGAGCAGAGAGCTGGCAAACATTCCTCAGGTACCTCTTGGCTTCTTGTCATGGTGCTTCTGACCCTTGACTTCCCAGAAGCTTCTGTCAGGGTCATTTAAAGGTGCTGTCCTCTGTTTGAAGATTAACCTGGATTTTGTGCTCAGCCATGTGAGTCTGTGGCAGCCTTCCATGGGAGGCCAGCATGTGGCCTCAGAGACAGTGGGGAGGCCAGGTCTGGTGTCAGATTGCAGGCCAGGATCCAAACCCTAGCTTTGCTATGTGACCCCAGTGAGTTAGTTACTGCCTCTCTGATCCACATCTCTTCCCTCACTCAGCTACCTTGCAAATGAGAGAGAATGCTTGGCACACAATAAGCCTTGCATGTTGCCCAGGGCCCCTGGTCCCCTTGAAAGACACCCTCTCTGAGTTCTCCAGTGTGTAGGCAATGCTGTCTGAAGGGACCTGCTGTGGACACAGCCATTGGGGCCTGATCTCATCCCAGCTCTGGCCCCTCCCCACACTGGGCTTTGATTTCTTCACCTATAAGTGAGGGATTCCTCTTGCTCCCAGGATTCTTATGTAGATGGAGGGAGTGGCTTGAAAAGGCCTCAGGCTCTGCACCACATGAGGGGACCCACCTTTGGACCTGAGAATCTCAGACTGGATGTGCCTGCTGCTTCTCTTTCTCTTTACCCCATGGGCCTGGCATTAAAGCAAAATCTTACCGCCCATCCTGGCTTGGGCAAATCATTTGAGCTCCATTTGGAGCCTCAGTTTCCACATCTGGGAAGTGGGAAGAGTGAGCCCACTGCTGTGAAGTCAGGACTTGGCACCCAGATGTGCTGAATGGATGGACTCTTGTCATAGTGAGGGCAGTGAGGCCTCCTGCCTGGCTTACCCAACTACCTGCTTCCTTCTGCTATCTGCAGGATGTGCGACAGCCCAGGGCGGGGCTGAGGATGAAGGAGAGGCAGAAGCAGGGTGGATTGAAGGGGCAGCTATTCTCCTCTCAGTCATCTGTGTAGTGCTGGTCACAGCCTTTAATGACTGGAGCAAAGAGAAACAGTTTCGGGGCCTGCAGAGCCGCATCGAGCAGGAACAGAAGTTCACCGTGGTCCGGGCTGGGCAGGTGGTCCAGATCCCTGTGGCTGAGATCGTGGTTGGGGACATCGCCCAGATCAAATATGGTAAGTGTCCCAACCACAGAGCCATCTTCTAGAGCTGGGGTCTGGGCAGAAGGGGGACAGAGGGGCAACTGCAGGAAGGCTGGCCCTGGGAAGGGTGCAACCCTGAAGGCTGATCCCAAGCAGGCTGTGGTCTAAAGCCCTTTGGGAGGTGGAAGGGTACTACCCAAAGGAGATAGGATTCCAGAATTATTTAAATCACATACCACTTCTCCAAACTTTTACCCACAGCAGACATTGCTAACCACATGGGAGCAGCCTCAGGAGCTTTCTCAACACACTCTAAGGGCTTCTACTCCTCAGAAGGAGTCTGAAATGAAATTCATCTCCCCTCCTGATCTGGCTGTGGACAGGGGGCTATTGGGCTAGAGGAGGTGTTCGAGGGAGCAGAAGTGAATAAGTCATCTGTGAGAAAGTGGATAGACTGGCACCAAAGAGGGGAAGTGGGCCCCAAATCCAAGCCAGACCAGGAGAAACACTGTGAAGTACAGGCCTGGGCTGTGATTGGACCTAGCCTCAGCCTAATGTTTAGCGCTTGTGCCAGTCACCTTGGCCCCATCTTTAGCTGCCAGGGTACCATCTTGGTTCCTTTACCCAAGAACTCTGGGTGTCATATCCTCCCTGTAAAACCGTCCCTCCTGATCGCTCCTTTAGGGGATATTCCACCTCTTGGTCCCCAAGACCACTAATCCCACCTCCCTCCCTCCTTCCAGGTGACCTCCTCCCTGCTGATGGCCTCTTCATCCAAGGCAATGACCTCAAGATCGATGAGAGTTCCCTGACTGGGGAGTCGGACCAGGTGCGCAAGTCTGTGGACAAGGACCCCATGCTTCTGTCAGGTGAGCTGTGGCCTTCAAGAGCCCTCAGCCTTGGCTCTGAAACCTCAGGAAGCTCAGCCCCCAGTGAGAACAGCACACTTAACCATGCTGTGGGCTGGGGCACCACAGTGAATGAGATAAATGGAGAACCCCACCTCTGGAACTTCCCTTCTAGTGACTGTTTACTGGAAAGCCCCTTACTGAAGACCTCTCATCAGGGCTGGGAAGGAATCAGTCAGGTGACAATCTCTGTGGAAAAGTACTGTGCACCAGGCCGCAGGTGGTACTGGGTGAGGCCCAGCCCTGAGGAGCCTGTGGTCAGTGAGGAGACAGAGGTCACGTGAAAGTTCTAGAAGTAATAGTATATGAGGAAAACAAACTGAACTGGGCAAGGGCAGCTGGGAGGTTGGGGACGGCCTCTGCGAAGAGGCCATGTTGAGCTAGGGTATGAAAATGAGAGAAGGACCCAGCCTGTGAGTGCCACGGGAGGGGACAGGAAAGGTGGAAGCCTGAGGCAGAACCAAACTAGAAGGCCTTGGGCAATGTGGAAAGGTAGAAGGCCAGAGGTCAGGCCTCGTGGACTGTGACCAGGAACATGATGAGGATTCTCGGGAATGGTTTTCTTGCTGTTGTTGTTACATGTTTCATTTCATTTTGTTGAGCCAAAGTCTCACTGCGTTGCAAAGCTAGTGTCAAATTCACAGTCCTCTTGCCTCTGCCTCCTAAATGCTGGGATTATAGCCATGCACTACCATGTCTGGCTTCTGAGATGGTTTTTAGTAGTGGTGGATGGCATTTGCGTTTTTAGAAGTCTACTCTGGCTGCTGCAGGGGCCAAGTGGGTTGCATGGGAAGACCCTGCAGGGGTGAGGCCCCAGCCTCTTGTCCAGCAATACTCAGCACATGTCCTCGGAGCACAGGGATCCCAAACACTGGGTCAGTCCCAGCCCCTGCTCTTGGGAAGCCCCAGGGTGAATGGGCCTGAGGAGACGTGAGACAGTATTGTAAGAAAGCCAAGAATGAGGCAGAATCCCCAAAAGAGATGATGTTAAGCTGGGTTTTATAGACTGAGTAGGAGTTTGCCAAGTTCAACTGTGTAGAAAAGGCCCTTCTGATGGCAGCAGCTGTGTACAAAGGTCCAGAGGCCTGGAGGAATGTGAAATGTCTTGTAAATAAAAAGGAGAGTATGTGCCAGTGTGCAAGGAGACTATTAGAAAGGAGTGAGAATCAGGCTGGAGCATTGAATAGCCAGAATCTATTCAACCAACATCTGTTAATCAAACACCTACTCTGCTCTGGTAGTAAATGGGACAAACAAGGTCCCTGCCACTCTGGAACTGAAGCTTGGAACCTAATGAAGGAGACCGGCAATAAAGGAACAAGCATGAAAACAGGTCAGGTTGGCTCAGTTGATGACAAATCAGATAAGGACACACACTTCAAGAGAAGGGCCCTGAGCTGGTGAGGAGATGCCTGTCCGAGGAGGCTGCTGCTGCACTAAAATTGGAACAGAGAAGAGCAGTCCCAGCAGAGGGACAGTAAGTGCAAAGTGCACAGTCACCAAACTTAACCAAGGGACGTGAAAGGTCTCGGGGCCCACCTGGAACACTGAACCACATGAGAGTTTGAGATGGCTGCAGCCCCGTGGCCCTGGTCCTGACCTCTAGCATGAAGTGGTTTGCAGACAGTGAGCATCCTCAGGGGAAGTGTCTGGATGAGTCATCCCATCAGCAGACGCCCAGGGGAGGCCAGGCCTGTGTCGAGGAGCAGTAAAGGTTCCAGACAGTTTGGGCAGGAGGATAGGATGCTGGCAAGGACCTGGGGAGAGAAAGTGTTCAGAGTCACTGGCCTGGTGGCTTCACAGAACAGCTGGGGGGTGGGGGAGGGCAGTGCAGGGACAGAGAGAGCTTGGAAAAAACCTGAATGGGCAGAGAGGGGTGGGAACCTGGCCAGCAGCCTAGGGTAAGTCACAGGGCAACAGGAGCAGGAGGGCCCAAAGGCAACAGGGGCACCAAACACCAGGCAATGCTAAAGGAAGAGGACAAAAACAGACTGTTCCAGGCCAATACCAGGAAGGAAGCAGTTCTGGGGGAGTCAGGGGCTTGGGGATCACCTCTCTGCTCTGTGTTCCTACTGCCTGTCACGAAGAAGCTGTGTGTCTGGGGAGAGGCCATGGAAATTCCTGAGGGGCCAGAATGCCAAGGGAGCCCGTCGGGCCTGCAGCCCCTTGGAGCCTTGGTGGGAGGGATCTGAGCACTGGGCGTGAGCCAGGCACTCCCGGTCCCTGCAGGCATCTAGTGCATCCTGGAAAGGGCAGGTTGGTAGTCAGCTCAGGAGCAGGTGGCTGTGAGCCCTGAGAAGAGAAAGAGATGACCCCAGAAGCCATGGCCATCCCCTGAGCCCACATCACAATGATGGCTTTGGTCTTGAACCAGCCTGAGAGATGGAGCAGACTTTTGGCTGCCAAGGGACGCCAGCTACACTCCCAGCATTGTCCTGAAGGCAAGGTAGCATTGTATGCTGCAGCCTGAGGCTTCTGTGGCCAGTGCTGACTCCTAGATGGCTGGCCATCTGGAGGAAATTATTGCTTGTCCTTCCTTGGAAACTGTGCCCACCAAGCTCACAATACCCATGAGGCCAGGGAGGGTGGCAGAAGGAAAGCCAGAGCCAGGACCCACAGAGATCCCCACGAGTACAGGGTGAACTAGACAGAGGAAGGTGAAACTCCAGGGCAGCGTACCTGCCTCGGGCATACGAACGTCCCATGCCTGGGCCTGCTCCTGCTCCTGCCCTAGAGACCAGCCTTACGCTAGTCCCTCCTACCTGCTGAGGAGAGCCCCCCCGCAGGTACTCCTCTTCCTTCCTCTTTGCTCACTTAAGTCCTGCCTTTCTTCTCAGGCCCACCTCCTCCATTCAGGCTTCCCTGTTGCTGCCACCCACTGACAGTCACCCCCTTTCTGCAGAGGTCACACCCTACACCCTGAGCCAGTCCCTGCTGTTCTTGGCCTAAGCAGGCACAGTTTTATAATGCTGAGTTGTGCATTGCACAAACCATCTCATGCAAAGAACAGAAGGCACCATTAGCCCAGGTCCACTGCTAGAGGCCCATTCACCCTTGGCCATGCCCAGACAGGCAGGGCCTGAGGTGTGCTTCTACATCAGTCCTCTCACCAGATACCCAGGCAGCTAGGAGTGCAGCACTGGCCTGAGGCCATCTGGAGGTTATGCCCAGCTTCAACCCCGGGCCTCCAAGTGAGTGGAGAGAACAGGCAGAGGTGTAGATGGCAGAGAATCAGCCCAGCAGAAGCTGACCTGAGCTCTTGAATGAACTCGCTTTGTGGCCTCAGGCATGTCATTTCCCTGCTCTTAGTCTCTCGGTTTACCTGTGAGGCTGGTGGAGATGTGATCGGGGTGGAGCCCCTCAAAGTTTCGGGGAATGTGCTCAGGATACTCATGGGTTGCCTTCCCCACTCCTGGCCTGGTGCCTGGCCTGGACTTCAGAAACATCTGTCCCCCTCTCTGCCTTTACCTCATTCCCTGCTCTCTGGGCAGCCCCTTTCTCTTCACCCTCCTGCTGCTCCCACCTCAGCCTCGGCCAGGGTACCCAGAACTCCTGTGTCACAGCCACGTGGCCCCTGTCTGTGCAGACCAGATGCCCTGGGCCCTGAAGTGTGCTGGGGACCTCATGGGCCCTCAGTTAGATGACCCTATAGGGACCCTAAGGGACCCGCCAAGGGCACTTGCAGGGTCCTGGTGGCACTTAGAAGCCCCCAGCTCACCAGAGCCAGAATGGTCCTTGCCTATGCAAGGTTGAAGCTGTGCCACAGGGATCTCAGCCATGCTTGGCCTGTGACGGAGGATAAGTCCTTTCACCTCTCTCAGCCTCCATATCTGTCTGTGCATGGAGGGGCCTGTGGGTCACCCCGCCTGCCCCACAGGGCTGCTGTGGGGGTCACAGGATGCACAGGCACAACTGTCCTTTCAAACACCGCAAATGTGAGATGCCACCCTGGGGCAGGAAGGGTGCAGGCAGCACCTGGGAGCAGCCAACCCCAGTGTGGGTCCCCAGCACACACTGACGGGAAGAGTCCATGTCCTGTGGGCAGGGTGGAGATGCTTAGCCTGGCCAGCTCCCGCAGATGTGGCTGCAGGGAGCATGGGCACCACTTGTGAGTGCAGCTGCTCCTCCTGCTGCCTGCAGCCGTGTGGACCCCAGGTGGGCACACTACTCACTTCAGAAGAGCTGGAAATCCAGACTTAAGGGCCCACCTCCTAAGATTTAAGAGTCCCCTAGAGACTTAGGAGTACGTGGATCCTACAGTGCAGACTCTGACCTGGGGTTATTTGTTTAGCTGTGTATTTTAAGATTATTTCAAGCTTCAAGAAAAGTTGCACAGATGATCTGAAGGGAACTCATGCATGTCCTCCCCACTAATTCAGCTCCTGTGCCCAGTCCCTCTCTCTTGTGCTGAGGGTGCCTCTTCCCCGGAGTCTTAGGCACAGGTGTGTCTCCTGAGAACAGTGGGTTCCTGCAGCCACCACAGCATAGCCATCACATTTAGCCAGGTTCATATTGACATGACTCATGTTCCTAAGGGCCCATCCATAGTCAAATTTGACTGATCATCCCTGCCCAGGACTAGGACCAGTGCAGGGCCTGCAAGCTCCTGGACACTGCGCCTCTCTGGCCTCCTTTGACATAAAGCAGCTCCTTGTCTCTGCTTTGTCCTTCATGGAGCCAGGGCTTTTTAATCCTCCTCTGTCATGACCTTCTTGAGTGTCCTGAGAGCAGTAGTCCCTGTTACAAGAAAGAGATACCCAGGCTGGTGAGTGTGCACCATATTGGGTATTCAGAGAATCCCCGAGAACCCCAGTTTTGTCCCACTTTGAAGCTGGGGAAACTGAGGCCCAGAGCAGGAGACCCAGGCCACACAGCACTCGGCAACATCCCAATGCCTGCTGCCCACCTGACCAAGCAGAAGGCCAGGCCAAGCAGCGAGCTGGACCTCCGCCGTTGCCGCCTAGGACAACACCGTGACTGCAGAAGGCCTGGTCTGCCACTCGGCCCGCACTCTCTCCATTACACTACCCTGCCTCTTCTCGATGAGAGGCAGCGGGGTGTAGTGGATAGAGCACGGGTTCAAGTCCCAGCTCCACCACTCACAGCTGTGTGACCCTGGGCCACCACTCAACCTCACTGAGCCAGAAAGCCACAGGTGGGCAGAAGGGCTTGGGGTTGTTCTTGCACCAGAACCTACTTCACAGGGCTGTCGGAAGGGAGGTCTTGCACGCTATGGGGTGCTGTGTGTTATAGCAGTGATGGAGATTAGCATCTGGGCTGTAGTGGGCTGGCTCCCTCCCTTTGCTCCTCATCAGGCCTAGCAGGTCAGACCCAAGAGAGCAGAGCAGGAGCCAGGGCCAGGCCAACTGCCCACTTTGAAGCCTCAGTGGGTCGTCTGCCCTCTCTGGGCTCTGCAGCCCCATTGTATAAAACAGGCCCCTCCAGCTTTGCCAGCAAGTACTCAGTGGTCCCCACTTCCCAGAATACAAGACTCTGGCCCTGCAGCGGCTGACATCCGGGCCAGGTCCAGGACCCATTCCTGCTCTTCAGGAAGGGTCTGAGTCCAGCAAGAGCAATGGGCCTGTGGAATCCCTCTGCAGCCAGGTCCAAAATCCAGGGAGGGCTGGTGTGTGGCTCAGTGGCAGAGCATGTGCTGGGGGGTGTGAGGCCCTGGGTCCATCCCCAGCCCTGAAAGAAAAATTGAGGGGACGGGGACGGAAGCGCAGGCAGAGTTGGACACTCTGTGGGGTAATGACACACCTGCCTGCTGCTCCCTCCTGTGTCTCACCCTCTGGACCCCCCCAAGGCTCTTCCTGGACTCCACCCACAAACCTCCCCAGCTAGGTGGGAAGGACCCGAGGTTGGGGCCACCCCACTGGCTCTGCCCTCCCAGGCTGAAGGCCTGGAAATGGGGGCGTTACCTCATAGCCCCCGTGACACAGCGGGAAAAGCAGCTCAGACCAGTACTGGTGCACAGTGAGTCCTCAGTTAATAGTCTGTCTCCTCCCCTTCCTCCTTTAAAATTCTTCCAGTGGGTCCCTGTTGAGCACCAAGCAGAGTCAGCTGCCCCTCCACAGCCAGCCCTTCCTCCACGAGCCTTGAACACTGGCCCAGATGAGACACTGCCATCGCACCAGCCTCCCACCTTTACCTGGTTCTGGCCCCCAACAGCCCACTGGGCCCTGGGTGCTCAGTGTCCCATATTTTGGTGCCTGTCTGCTGCCCTCAACCCTGGCTAGACTGTGAGCTCCAAGAGAACAGGGACCATGGAGGCCCTTGCTGCATCCTCCACACCTGGTGTGGAGTTGACATTCCAAGATGCCTGTCTGTCCTGCCTGTGGCCCCATCAAAACTCTCTGTGCCTGAGATGGAGCTGCCCTGCCCCACACAGGATGTAGCTTCAGTCTCCCCACCCCCAGTACCCAGCACATCAGACACTGTTGCTGAGAGGTGATGACCTAAGCCAGCTGAGTGTGTTCCCATCTCACAGATGACAAAGCTGAGGTCCAGGGAGGAGAGGGGCTGGCCTAAGCCCACACACCAGCTGAGTTCTGTGTGTTCTGAAGGGTTCTCTGGGCAGTTAGAGGAGCCAGGGGCCACAGATGGTGTCCAGGGGCCGAGTGAAGTCCTGGTGCCAGGACTCCGCACCCAAGGGGCTGTCACTCTGGCCTTACCCAAGGCCCTGTGGTTTCTTTGGAGAGAGCTGGTTGCCTGACCTTTCATTGGTGTACCTGTTGACCCACCCAGGCGGCCTGGAGCTGCCTAGGGAGCCGCCCATGCTACTCCTCTCCTCTTCTGGCAGGAGGGCAGCTATGCTGGTTCTCAGAGGTCCTGCTGCAGGGCAAGGTACAGCCCAGGGAAGTAACGGAGCAGGGGCCAAGCCGGGATGATTGTGGCCACAAGGATGGTTTGCTGGGGGAGAGTATCCTCCATTATAGATGCTATGCATGCTCAGCCGGCAGAATACAGAAAAGGAGGGCAAAAGAGGTGGTGCTGGTGCTGCAGCCACAAGCCAGGCAAGCACTGTGGAGGCCAAGAGGAGGCTGCACTTGGGCCCTGCCCTCAGGGAGTACAGAGCCTCCTCAGGGAGCCAGGCCTGGGACCAGCCCAGGGAAGACTGGGCCAGTTCAGAGGGAGAAAGGAAATCCCCTTGTGGGAGTCAGGGAGACCCCTAGGGGAAGGATGAGCAGGGGTGGGGACAAAGGCCAGTGAGCTGTGTGGTCCAAGAGCAAAGGCCTTGTGGCAGGAGGCAGTGGGCAGGGCCAGGAGAAGGCTGGGTTCCGCCTGGGGGCACTGAGTCCTTTTCCCCTCAGGGAGTCACTCAAACCCTCAGGGAATATGACAGGGTGATGCTGGCTAAGTAGCATCGAGGGAGACTGACAGGATGTGGAGGAGATGGGGGGGGTGATCGTGCAAGCCTCCCTCACCCAGTGGTGGGCTTCTGAGCTCCAGGCTCACCCAAGGCTGCTCACCCTTGCCCCTACCTGCTCCTGCCAGGGATTCAGAGAGGAGCTGCCAGCTCTCTGCTGCTGCCAGGATGGGAGCGATCAGATTCGAAGGCATTTGAGGTCTGCTTATCTTGGGTGGAAATTGGCCCCCTGTGTCTTTTTCCATCCCATCTCTGCTGGGGAGGTGGTGAACAGCCTCCCTGTGGCCACCCAGGCCAGAGAACTGGCACCTCATTTGCCAGCTAGCCTTTCATGCCCGTATTTGAGAGCAAGCTGTTGGGGCCTCATCTCTTAGGCAAAGTATTATGTGGCCAAGACTGTGGGCTTGGAGGACTGCAGAGTTCAGGAGCTGCTCTGCCCTCACCAAGGGGAGCTCGAGGTGAGCCATCTCCCCTGCCAACCTCCTGCACCACTGAGGGCCTCTGTGAGAGTGCTTGGTGAGCTGGTTGCCCACAACAGGCAGCTCTGCACCTGGTGCTCAGTAGGTGTGCTTCAAAAGTTAGCTTGGTTGCTGTTGTGCCTTCTTTGCAAGCTCTGTGAATACAAACTCCTGTGCTCTTGCTCACCCTGTGTGACATCAGTTTTCTCATCTGTGTAATGGGGAGATTAAACAGCCCCTCTCTCGGACCCCCAAGCTGAGCCAGTGCCCAAGAAGGTTCTTTGTCAGAAGTTACTGTTAGGATTGGGGTCCCAGGCCTGGGCCACTCTACCTGGAGTCCCGTCTGGAGTCAACATGTGATGCCCATTGTGCCTGGCAGTGAGTTCACTGTATGAGAATCTGGCTCTGCAACAGCTCAGGGCTTTCTGGGGTCCATGTCAGTATGTGGACTGGCCAGCCCACCTGCTTCCAGAGCTCACTGGAGCTGTCTGTCCACAGAGAGCATTAAGGTCCTGAGGCCCAGAGGCTGAGATGCCTGTGTGGCACACTTGCAGGCATGCACCCCACAAGGGGCATTAAGAACCTGGGGGAGGGCCAGGCAGATGCCACTGGGAATGAGCCTGGGTCCCCATTAAGGAAGTGCTTGGGCCCTGGCCCAGTGTACACTGACTAGATGACTCTAAAGGGGTTTGTGAACTGGAAAGCAGAGAGGCTCTTGGTGACAAGTTGCACTGAGATCTCGAGTCTCTGCAGCTCTTTTGTGACTGGCTGATGTCACACAGTATAATGTCTCAAGGTCCCCGTGCTTGGCATGTGTCAGAATGTCCTTCTTTGAGGCGGGTACTCCATCATATATGTAGACGAGTTTCCGCCTTTGCATGTTATCCTCACCCTGCCACAGCCCCCATGTGGGCTTGGGTGGGTTGCACTGAACAAAGTTGACACGGAAACTGTCAAGAGAAGATGAGCAGGAGTAGACCCCTTTGACCCTGCACACAGAGCTGCCGCACAGGCCCTTGAAAGAATCCTGCAGCCTTTTGAAGCCCAGTTTGAGCAGCCCAGAGTTCTATCCAAAGGGGTCCTTAATCCCTGAGGAAGACTGGTGTCATCGTGGACCACCCCTACTCAGAATTTCAAAGTGTGTGAAATGAAATAAGAACAGCTAACCCAGTTATATTGAGATAAATATAGTGAAAAAGGTGTGGTACAGACATCTGTGTGCTTCTTGGTGGCCACATTAAACAAGATCTAGTGGGTAGTATAATAACCAGCTCGGTGATAACATAGGGTAATCACCAGTAATGTCTGCAGCCACTGAGAAATGACATTAAAAATACAGGATTATTATGCATGTTGTGATGCTGTGGACATCAGAAGCACTCCTAGCACTTGTTGCCTACATTCATAGTAGGGAGAGCGTGCTGAATTTCGATCAGAGGTTTGTGAAAAAAATAAAGCTGTAATTTTTTTCTCACCACATTTGCAAACCCCTAAATTCTTCTCACAGATTTTTAGGATCCCATTTTAAGCAGTGTGGTGTAGGGTTTGCTTAGCATTGCCTTCCTAGTTGCAGCATTAAGCAGACTCAAAGTACTGTCAGTAAGATGGGGCCAGGGATTTAGCTCAGTGGTTCCGCCACCTGCCTTGCAAGCTCAAGTTCCCGAGTTCAATCCCTGGTACCCCCCCCAAAAAAAATCAGTAAGTACTATCAGTAAGAAAAGAGTATTCCCTCATTGACCTATGCAGCAGGAGAGGAAGGGGGAGAGAGAGACAGAGGAGGAAGCCGCACTCCAGGCTAGAGTGGTCAGTCAGGATCTGGAGCTGTTTGGGGCACTGAGAACTGAAGGGCAGCAATGCTTCAACCCCAAGTCTACCCTATTGCTGTCCTTAACCCCAAGGAGCACCCCACAGTCTTAGCAGTTGGGGAGCTGGGAGCTGGGGGCTATGCTCCTCCCACTCCTGCAGGGAGGGGCTCTGGCCTGTGAGGGTAACTTGGTTTTGCCCTTCTCCAGGGACCCATGTGATGGAGGGCTCTGGACGGATGGTAGTGACTGCCGTGGGCGTGAACTCTCAGACTGGCATCATCTTTACCCTGCTGGGCGCCGGTGGTGAAGAGGAAGAAAAGAAAGACAAAAAAGGTAAGCCTACCCACCCTCAGACCAGGAGAGGTGCTTTGAAGGCCACTCTTTTTTTGTCCACTCACACTAGTTATTGAGTGACTTCTTTGTCCACACCCTGTGCCAAAAGCCACCTCCTCCATCCTCAAGGCCCTGCTAGGGCCAGGTGGGTGCTCTCTGTTTCATCTCAGGATCTCGTCCGGGTCTCTGTCCTGTCCAGTTGTGTCTCGGAGGCCCCTCCTTCCCCTCTGGGCAGGCCCAGGAGGCTACACAAGCTGTGGACTCTTCAGTGGCAGCATAGAACAGCCCACAGGACCTGGTCTCATCATTACTCTACTGTGGAGTAGAAACCCCCTTCAGCGTTGCTGTCTCTGCATGGCACAGCTGGAAATCCACCCACCACTTTACACATCCTAGCCATGTGCAGAGGAACATGGCTAAAAGCCTGCTTGAAGTCATCTCTCCCAGTCCCCTGGAACTGCCACTTTGCCTGGGTTCTGGTTCCTCCTCCACCCTGGAAAACAGACCTCCTTCTGCTCACAAGGGGCTGTTCAAAGTCCTGCCTCATAGGACAGAGGAGAAATGCTCCTACAGGAGGCCCCAACCCCAACCCAAGCCTAGGCTTCAGGCACCACAGCAGCCAGCTTCCCAGCTGACACCCACACTCGGTCTCAGGGAGCACATCCGTTCACACATCCATGCTGTCCCCTGCTGCAGGCTCTACGGGGGGATCCCATATGGCCTGACAGAGGACAGATGGCCTCTCCCTGAGGCTCAAGGTAGCTCTGCTACCTCCAGTCCCAGAGGCCACTCAGGCACCGAGCCCAGGTCAAGGTGGGAGGCTGCCTATTCCTGAGGACAAACCCATTTCCTATTGCAGTGGTAGTGAACTAATGGCATGCAGAGCCCTCTCTGCAATGATGTCACAGGTTGTATCAGTTGTTTTTGCTGAACTGAAACCTCAGAATTCGGGTTTAATTGCAGTGTTGGCACTTTGTGATAAATAAGTGGGTTTTGGGTTGCAGTTTGGGCACTCGGTCTCTAAAAGGTTTTCCGTCACTGTCCTAGTGGGTCCTCTTAGATTATGGCTATGCCTCCACCCCTGGCAGAAATGATGGTGCTGAGCTGTCTGGGAAATCAAGCTGAGGAGAGCAAGGGGTGCTGGAAGAGAGTCTGATTAGGAAGAGGATGTCAAGACAAAGTCCACACACTGTGACAGTCTGCGGCCAGGGCAGTCAGCCAGGCCCACACGCAAGCAGCTGGGAAGATTCCAGAGGCCAGGCAGGATATGGAAGCCTAGACATGTTTCTGTGGCCTTTCTGGGATCCATCTCAGGGGCAGACAGAAATCCTCATAGGCTAGACCTGTATCTTTGACAATGCCAGTAAGAAAGACCATCCTCAGCTTCCGCAGAAGTGTAGATCAAGGTCCCCCACTGAATGATGAATGCATGCCACCAACATGTGGTCAGAAGGCTCAGCATCATGCAGAGGGAGGTGCAAAGGGGACGTGGCAGAGGAATCTTGGGAGGCACCCCAGTATCTCAGGCCAGCGTGTGCAACTCAGTAGGGACTAAGCTCCATCTTCTTCCCTGTCCCGTTGTCTGAACCAGGGATAATGTAGCTTAGAGCCTGCCAACCACATGTTCCCATTTCAGGGTGAATGGCTGTGTAGCCGTGTGCATATGTGTGCGTGTGTGCATGCATGTGCATGTGCTTGTGGGCAGATGAGGCTGTATGTGCTTCTCCTTCATTAACATGTCTCAAAAATCATCACACAGGTGTGAAGAAGGGGGATGGCCTTCAGCTACCAGGTACAGTAAGACATCCCTCAGGGTAGATGGGGCTTTTAGAAATAGCAGCAGCCTTTCCCACAATGCCCTCCCCCTAGATGACCAGCACACAGCTGAAGGAGGCCCCCGGCCTGCACTCCCAGCTGCCCCTCTGTGCCTTGTGTGGTGCCTGCCCAGCAGGACAAGCCAACACCCACTCTGCCCTCCAACCCCTTCAGGATTTCACCCAATCAGCTAATGCCAAATGTCCCCAGTACCATCTGTACACATCCTCGGGACTGAGCACCACCCATGGAGCCCATCCCAGCTCCTCACCAGAAACCACACAGTGTGTCCCCCAGCCGCAGCAGCATCCTTCTCCACAGGGTCTTTTTCCTAGTCCCCAGCCATGGAAGAGGAATATGGCTGAACTTGCCCACCTCCACATTCTGAGTCCTAAATGGAGAAAATGGCACTGGTGCCTTTTCTTGGGTGCAAAATGCAACACACTTGACGCTGCCTTTTAGACAGTGGGATATCTCACTTGAGGGCTACCAGGGTGCTCTCTAGGTTGCTGGTGAGGGAAGGAGGAGGTGGCAATAGGCAGTACCCTACATTGAAGACACATCCTGAGCCACCACCAGTGGCACCTGTTCCCCTGATGCCCTGACAGCATGATGGTGGTCAGAGCACACACCCCTGGGAGGGCTCGGGGCCCTCACTATCCCTCTCACAGGACACTTTGCCTTGATTCCTGGTCATAGACACTCTGGCCCCAAGGGGCAGCCAGACATTTTCTTGACACTCACTCTGGTGAAGACCCACCTGACCAGCTGGGCCAGCGGGGTACAGACCCTGCACAGAAGGGCGCCATCCCCTCAACCACCTGCTAGCCCTCCATGCTTTATTTCTAAAACCTCCATGTCCGAGTCCCCCCCACCCCTACCCCTCTGGCATCTCCATGGGAACATTTCACACCACATTTGAGTTTCTCAGTTTCCAGCAGAGGTTTGGTTTTGAGAATAGAGTGGCGTGGTCCCCACTGGCGGGTTTGTGTCTTTCTGGTTGTTGCTTTTCTCATTGTGACATACTGCATTTTCCATCCCTCCCACCCTCCAGCAGCAGACGGTGCAGCAGCTTCAAATGCTGCAGATAGTGCAAATGCCAGCCTAGTCAATGGTACGTCTCCGTGGCGAGCTCTCTTGGGTGTGGGTGATGGGGTCATTCTCCTCCACCCCAACTCTGGGATTTGTCTACCTCTTCCGACCGCACAGACCTTGGATGTGCATGGCCCAGGTAGCAACTGTTTCACATGGGGCAGGTGCTTAAGGGTGGAGCCATGGCATGGGACTCACTGGGGCCCTTGTAGCTACCAAAACAGTGCTGGCTCTGGTTGGGTCCTAGACCCCTAGGGAACCCCAAAGTGGGATATGGCTTTAGCTTCAGATTTGGCCCCCAAGAAGCAGCATCTCACACAGTGTTGCCCTCTCCTAAGTGCACTCCTGCTCTGGCTTTGGGAAGACTGCCTGAGGTTGGGACCTGAACTGAAGCCAACATCTGGATTCCCAGTGAAGGCTCCCAACCGCCACTAAAATGTCTTGGAGGCAAGAGGCAGGGGACCCAGGTGGCTCCACTCCTTGGCCCCGCCCCATAGCATGGCTGAGCCACTGGGAGACATTAGTTCCTCTTTTCTTTCATGGAGCACATAGGCCCAGGGCCACTTGAGCTCCAGCCTTTGGTGTAGACTGGTGTCTCTCACTGTTGCCTGTGCTCGAGTGTTTGTAGGTCTCTGCATTCTTACTGCTCCCTCCTCTGGGCGGTGGGTGGGGTGGGGCTGGGACTGCCTGTGTCCCTGAGAATCTGCACCTTATTCTTCTACTATTCACAGGCAAACAGGAATTCCATTCTCTTGCCTCCAGCCTCTGATTTCTAATCTCTGTACTCTCCCATCATCAGGGCAACAGATGAGGCTTCTGTTGACTCAGATACCACCCATGTCATCAAGTGAGATAACATGATAGTCACTCAGGCTGCTCAGGAGGTATTCAGAGCCATTAGGGCCTGGCCATGAGCACACTATCCCAAAAAAGCCAAGAGAAGGGCCAAAGGTCTTTGTTTCCTAGCATAACTGCCTACGAGGCACTGGGCTAGAGAAGTCTCATCCCTTATATCACACACCCATCACCACTCCTGCAAAGCATGGAGACCCTCGTCCTGCCCCAGACCTCTGGCCAAGCCGCCTACCGTCACAGTGACAGAGGATGGAAGCACCTTAAAGATGTCTGGATTGGGCAAGGCACTTCTGCAAGCCATGTGCTAATTTGGGGTAGGACTATTTCAGGTCCAGGAGGAGGAAGGAGGACAGCTTGGGATGTGGGAGGTGTCACACATCAGGGAGGGTAACTGAGCAGTGATGACAGGGAGAGTGATGTGGGCAAACCTATGGCTGAGAGAGGAGGAATCAGAAGGTGGCACCCACTTCTCCTAGGTGAAGCATACAGACCCCAGCCCGGCTGGCCAGTTCCCCCACAAAAAGGGAGTTTCAATCCCAAAATGCAGATCAAAAGCCCAATTATCCCAAGCAAAACTGCAGAAAAGATAGGAATTTTTATTTCTTGACCATGTATTGTCTATCAGACATTGTTGCAAGAGTTTCATGCTCTTCATTCATTTAACCCTTGTGAAGTCCCATAACACAGGTTGTGTTGTCACCGCTTTAAAGATGAGGAGACTGAGGCTCAAGGGGGTCAAGACACTAGCCAAGGTCCCAGAGCTAGAAAGCAACAGAGCTATGACTTCCATGCAGATCCCAGATGGCTGGCTCCAAAGAGTGTGCTCCTTCTCCTCCTGATACAGAATTTCCCATCCTGGTGTATCTTGTAAGTGTTGCAGGGAAATGAAGAGGTCTCCCCCCAGGGAAGGACCTGTGGTCAAGGATTTTAGAGAACACTGGACTGAGTTGAGTCTTCTTCCTTACACAACTTCTCAGAGCTGGAACATGCTGGTGTGCAGTGGGGGCTGGTCGGTCATCCAGGGACCCTGGGCTGATTTGATAGCAGGACCTCTCCTGGGAGTACACTATGGAATTGTTGTGCCCTATTATATACTTTGGGAAACAGTGATGGGAGCCATTGCTACTGAAAATGTGATCAGAAGAGCCACAGCCCGAGTGTCACCTGGGAGCTTGGCAGAAATGCAAAATCCCAGGCCCTGCCCCAGACCAACTAAATGAGTATCTGAATTTTAACAAACTTTTCAGGCTCCAGGAGAAAACACATAAAAGGTTCAGAGGCATGAGACTGAATCTTGGCAAGTAAGAGGGAGTGCAGTGCGATATCCCCTCTTTCTTGTGAGCCAGTCTTGATGACTTAGATACAGAGAAACAAAATTAAGTGACAGTATCCCCGTCCTCCTCCCCCAAGAGTCCCCTCTGAAAGGTGGGTCTGTTCCAGTCACCTTGGAGGCATTGTGATTGCTATTATTATTGCTTCCTTTTACATGGATTCACATGTCACTATCCAATATATCACTTCTAGTCACAGCTCTACTCGTGGTTGATGTACATCACCATGAACTCCCAACATCCTCACAGCACTTTGCAGGAACATCTCGTAAGCATTGCCCTAGCTGACATGGCCCTATTTCAGAAGGAGAAAAGGAGTGACATTTCCCAAGTCTCCTAGCTTAGCATCTGTATTTCCAAACCTTATTGATCAGTTCACCTTACGGGAATCCCACAAAATCTTTGCTCTCCACACCCTTGCCCCTCGTGATAGCAAAAGAGAAAAGGCCATTCCCAGCTCAGTGTCTGGAATCAGAGAAGAACCTCCGAGACCCCAGCCCAGCCCCCTGTCTTGTCCCACATCCCTGGTTCCCCTGAAATACAGCCCAGCCTCCTGGCCCCATCACAGTACAGGGTGAGGCAGGCACCAGTTTGGCCAAGAAGAGCCCTAAATAAGTCCCTTTCTTCTGAGAAACCAGGCCATCTGTGCTATAGCACTCCCGGACCATAGCTCCCTTCCTCCAACATATGCATTGGTGATCATTTTTCTGGCCACATGATCACTATGGCAATAAAAGAGGAAATTGCTAGCTAAGTCTAATGGATGCACACACCAGATAGCACATCTGATAATATGCAATGCAAATAAAGGCCCCTTTGAGCCTTCTAAAAGAGTCTATTGAAGCCAAGTCCTTTGATACCCCTTAGCCTAGTTAGTAAAATTATTTTAAGAAATAAATTCCTGTTTGCTCTAAAAAGTTTTCTCCCTATCATTTTAAATCTGGCAGACTTTCACAACAGAGCAGCAAAGATCTTTCTCTTTAAACACCGGGGTGAGCTGCTGAGCCCTGGCTAGGAAAGGCAACAGAGACAGCATCAGCAGACACTGGGTCAGGGAGGGCTGGCAGGGTCCAGGGCAGCGCTGCTCACTCCTGAGTCACTTCTGCATTCTTGTGAGGAGGTTCCATGAGTGCAGGCTGCCTCTGACCCTCCCTTGGCCTCGGTGTCCTTCTCTGTAAAACTGCAGTGTTGACAGTCCTCCTGCCCCACCTTGCAGGGACCCATATGAGATAACATCAGCTAACAACCCTTGTAAACAGCCAAAGGGTGAACCACGAGAGTGGTGATTAGAGAGGGAACCTTTGGGCACTCAGCACGAACATCTTACCCTGTTGTACAAAAGTGGAAACTGAAGCAAGAAGAGGTGAAGCATGCAGCTAGTTGGTGACAAGCCCCTGGGGAACCTGGCAGGCAGCCCTCCCCTGAGTCCCCTTCTCTGGGCTGAGGGGCTTCTGGAGAAGACAGGGCAGAGTAGAAATACACATGCACTTTGGGGCCAGCCCTGGGCTTCCGCCCAAGACAGAGGCAGGGCACTTCCCTCTCGGATCCTCAGGTTCTCATCTGTCAATGGAGCAAGGCAAGGATATCCTTTGTTGGAGAGGCCGAGGCAGGCATTAGATGAGACCATGGAGGCCATCAGGACTCAGCAGCTGGTGGGTCTGGCAGGAAACGTCCAGGTGGCTGACCTTCTCAGGTTTCTGGAGGTGACAAGGCCCAAAGGCCCTGTGGACAGGAGGCTGTGGGTGAAGGGAGTTGTCTTGAGAGACACAGGACAGGGGCCTCCCAGGCAGCCCTCATTACAGGGTGAGAGCTTCAGATTCAACCCTGACTCTGCACTAGGCGACATGGCCCTGAGATGGGATGGGGTTCCCGAGAGAGTCCCTAACCCTACTTAGCCACAAAATGAAGACCCCTTTCCCCAGGTGTCAGTAGCTTCTCCTTGGGTCAGGACACTTCCATGAGGCCCCCAGACATCCTTGGGTCCTCTTAAACCACCCATGGGGACCTCTTACTCACTCCCTGCCAGTTACTCTCAAGGCTGTTGGGCAGGGGGTCATCCATGCCACAGCTTTATACCCTTCAGAGAGACACAGAGGAAGTAGAATCATCCCTTCTGGACCCAGAAACAAAGGAACACACTGTCCTCAGTACCTCTCCATACTCCTCTCCATTCTAGAGAGTCTTTCTCTCTCTCTCTCTCTCTCCAAAATATTTTCGTGTGTTCTTTGATAGAAAAACAAAAAAGAAGTAGCTGAACAAGTTTATCTTCGCTCCTTCCCACCCACAAACACACAAACCAAAGCCATCATAAAGGGCTGGTTTGGGGGCCTGAGATTCTCCTCCCTGCCAGTAGACTCTGGCCCCTTTTTCCCTCAGACACTGTCCTGTAACATGTAAAATGCTCAAGACCAAGCTTATTCCCACAGAAACCCTCCCTTACAAGCCCCCCAGGACCAACAGCCCCTGCGGCTACGGGGACGGCAAGGCTCCCCTTGCTCCAAGCCTCCTCTGCCACCCCAAACAGCTCAGCCCTTCCTCGTCTGTGATGTGAATGTCTGTGGCCTGTTGCGTCTTCGTGCTGACCGACCTGTGCTGTCTGTTCTCTGTTGTCTGTTAAAATTCTCTGTCGTATAGGTAAAATGCAGGATGGCAATGTGGACGCCAGCCAGAGCAAAGGTAACCCTCTGCACTAACGACTCCTGTGGCCCCGTGGCCCCTCCCCACCAGAGCTGAGTGCCACACCAGGGGCAAGAACTCACTGGGCCCGGGTGGATACATCCACACCCATGGGAGTCTTTGGAGGTGCCACTGTGGTTCTTGGGGTACCAAGCCAAATAAAGATGTGTTGCCAGTGGGGAGAGGGGACACTGCTGGGCTGGTATCTCCCCAGCCTTTGAGCTCTACCACCCTCCACTGAAGACTTGAAGCTGAGGCTTTGTGGCCTTTGTAGGTGGCGGGACAGGGTAGGATAAGAGTTGTCCTCATTTCTGTCCAAAAGGCCACAAGCCTTCCAGGCAGTCACACTAGAGAGACCACAGTGCTTGGGGACAGGGACACAGCATCTGTGCATGGGCACACTCTCTTCTACTTTTTAAGCCGCATTTTTGTCCCTCCTGTCTACTCACTCCCAATAGCATGTCTTTAAAGACATACTGGGAAATCCCAAGGTCTTTGTCTTGTCTGATGAGTGAAAAGACAAGGGACCATCTGGGTACGGTCTGTGGCCTTGTTCAGCCCCCCAGGGACTGTAGCCCACTGCTGCTGGGAATCCTAGATTCCAGTTCCGGGACAATGAGGGACCAGAGATTCCAGAAAAAGCAGGTCCCATCCCAGGCTTCTGTGGCAGCCATGAGCAGCACAGGCAGGTGGCCAGCACTTCCCTGGGCAGGCAAGGTGGGGAACACGTGGCTGGCTGCAGGGTGACCCACACATGTCTGTGTCTGTGTCTGTGTCTTTGTATGTGCATGTGCATGTTCTGCCCCTGCAGCTAAACAGCAGGATGGGGCAGCAGCCATGGAGATGCAGCCGCTCAAGAGTGCTGAGGGTGGCGATGCCGATGACAAGAAGAAGGCCAACATGCACAAGAAGGAGAAGTCCGTGCTGCAGGGCAAGCTCACCAAGCTGGCTGTGCAGATTGGCAAGGCAGGTGAGTATGCAGCAGGACCAGGCCCTCGAGCACCTGATCTGCAAGGGGCTTGAGTCAGATGGTCCTAGAAGCCAGCCCTTCTCTGCCACAGCAAGCAAGCTGAGTCCCATACAGAGCAGGCACTCAGTACTTACTAGGGCAGAAGAGTGAAGCCAAAAGCCAAGGCTCTGGAGCAGCTGCCTGCCCTGTGATCCAACATGGTTATGAGAACTTGGCCAAATAACTTTACCTAGCTCTGAGCCTTTGTCTCCTCATCTGTAAAATGGGGATAACACTTGTCCCTACTTCAGAGGTTGCTAGAGGATAAAGGAGATTACATACACAGAGCGCTTAGCACTTGGCATGTGCAGTGGCTGGAAAGGGAACAGATCTTTCAGGGCTTGGAGTTCTAGGCAACATGGACTTTAGCATCAGGACAGGGAGAGCAAAGGAAGAGTTTGAGCAGGGAAGAGGTCTGAGCAGGTTGATGGATTGGGGTTTATAATGACCACCCTAGCTGCAGTGCAGAAATAAAGATTGAAAGGGTTGAAGGCAGTGCCAGGAGCCCAGGAAGCCCATTGTCTTAGCCCCACAGAACAAGCCAGGCTTTCCGGCTGAGGCAGTAGCTGCAGACAATGCCAGTCCCGTGCAAGGTGAGGCCCAGCCCGTGATCCTGACCTCCCCTCCTGGTTACAGATGTGGCAAATGCCAAGGCTTTCCCACCTGTTCGCTCCCTCCTTTGTGGCTGTCTCCCTGGCTCTAATTATAGATACCACAGCATGGAGAAGGGAGGCAAATTATAGGCCTGGCCGTCTATATTTAAACTTGGGGCCTAGTGACAGCTCCAGGCTTCTGGGAGCTTGGTTTCCCACCCCTGCCACTGTCAGCCAGGGAGAGAGCAGGCTCTGAGTCTCTGCAGCTGGAGGTGGGGGTGGGGGTGAGGGCCCGAGGGATTTCCTTCATCTACTGCCATTGTTGTCACAGGGCTCTGCTGGAAAACAGCACTGGTGGGGAGGGGGCTAGGCGATGGTGACTCTGTGCCCTTTGTAGTACTGGCTCCCACACCTCACCCTGCAGACAAGCATGTCGGGTTCACAAATCACCCCTGCCTTTCCCTTGGGCTGAGTGCCCTGAAAGCAAAAATGAGGTGGCAGGCACAGGATGTATGCAGGGTGCCCTCAGGGAAGGTCCCAGCTAGGGAAGGAGCCCAGTGCTGCAGACATTTCTAGAGACAGCTCCTAGTTTTGTCCCTGGGATCCCTGGACCATGCACAATGAAGCAGGGCCTTTCTACCTTGCAGCATGTAGCTGGGCCTTGGGACACTGAGCATGAGGTAGAGGCGGTGTCCTCCCAGCCCCTTCCTGGCAAAGGGACTCCAGTGGCCCACATGTCATCCTCCTCTGGCAGAGGCTGCGAGTAGAAGCCATTTCCCAGCCCTTGTGGGAGATGGACACACTGAAGTTGCAGATGGCAACCCTGGGGAATCCGGACACGTCACCAATTGTGTCCCTACTGCTATAGCACCTACCTGGCCTGTGGCTGAGAGCAAGACACTTCCTGTCTGAGCCTCAGCTTCTTCATCCAAAAAATGGCCACCTTTTGTTTCTCCTGCCTGGAATGCTGTTCCCCCAGGTCACCAGATACGTATTCCCCACTTTGTTTCAGTGTCTGCTCAAATGTCACCTCCTGAAACGTACCCCCGGCTGCCCTGGCTCTCCCTGCCACTCTCTGTCACCTTCTGCCACATCATATCAGTGTTTACCTTCACAGCTCTTCTCCATATCTGAAATGATCTTGCTACTGTTTGTCTTTCTGTTTCCTGACTGCCTCCCCCTCTAGGATATCAGGTCCCCAAGGACAAGAACTCTGGCTTTGTTACTGCTGTGTCCCTCATTCACAGACTAGGAACTACTATGTGCCTAGCCCATGATAGATGTGAGATGAATGAGTAAATAAGCAGTGTCAGTTTCACACCGATGGCGCTTTCTCCTCTCCTACTGCTGTACAGCACATATTTCTAGGACACCTGCTAAGTGTCTCATGGACACTGTGCTAGTTGTTTTACATGTGTTACTACATCTCAGCCTTGGAAAACCACATAAAGGGGATTTGTATGCCCATTGTACAGAAGAAGAGACTAAGGCTCACTGAGGTTCCAGTACTTGCTCCAGTCACAAAGCAAGAAGGTAGTAAAGTGGGGAGGTGGGCCAGGGTCTGTCTGATCCAAGAGTGCTTCAGCAAGTTTTACTTCACACCCTGTTCCCTAACCACCCCTGGAACCTCTGAACAAGCTGTCTCCATGTCACAGGCCTGGTGATGTCAGCCATCACAGTGATCATCCTGGTGCTCTACTTCACTGTGGACACCTTCGTGGTGAACAAGAAGCCATGGCTGCCTGAGTGCACGCCTGTGTATGTGCAATACTTTGTCAAGTTCTTCATCATCGGTGTGACGGTGCTGGTGGTTGCTGTGCCTGAGGGCCTCCCACTGGCTGTCACCATCTCGCTGGCCTACTCGGTGAAGGTGAGCTGCAGGCACAGCCCCCAGCGGAGGGGTGGGGGGCAGTCGGTGTGGGGATGGGGAAGTGAGCTAAGAAGAAGCTTGCAGGTGCACCAGGAGCTTAGAGAGAGGACTGCACAGACCCTACAACTCAGACACCTTCAGAAGCCTGGGGCAAGCAAGAGCCACACCCTGACCACAGGGTCCCCACTTCACAGCTGGCCCAGTGTTCCTTGTGGGGTGCAGGCTCAGGGCGGCCAGTTCTTCACAGCGTTCTCAAGAGAAGCCAGAAATCTGGACTTGTATGAACTCTCCAAATGTTTATTGACAGTCAACTCAACTTTAAAAAATAAAATAGGACATGAGTATAACCTGTTGGTCTGCACTTGCTGACATACACAAGGGCCGGGGTTCAATCCCTAGCACTGCAGAAAAAATACAATGCAGATACCACTGTGTGAGCCAGACCCACCCAATCCCACCAAATCTAGATGGAGACCTGGCAATCGCAGCTATAGGCACCTTGGCTTGGGGGTTTTTTGAGACTATGTAGTGCAGGCTGACCTGCACTACACTACACTATTATGTAGTTCAGGCTGAGCTTGAACTCATCATATAGCACAAACTGGCCTCAAACTCACTGTGGCCCTCCTGCCTCAGCCTCCTGAGTGCTGGGATTACAGGTATGTGCCACCTGGCCTGGCTAAGAGGTTTTAAAAGCAGATAAATGGAGGGCAGCCAGGCCCATGAGCACTTGCTGGGGAATCTCAGGCCTGGGAGGCTTTCCTGTGCACCAAGGCTCTGAAGAGCCCTGCCTCTGTCTGTGTCGCAAGAGCCCAGCACTGCAGTCTGACTTTCTGTGGGTTACCTCAGGTTCTTACAGCCCACTCATTTCTTCCCTCCTCCCAGAGGCTTCCCCAGCTTCGAGGGCAGAGCCCTGGGCTCCTGCTTCCCAGTGTCCTGATGCCAAGATGTCCCCATAAGGTGTGGCTCAGCTGTGTTCACAAAGAAGGCCTTTGCTGTGAGAAATTGGCAGGGCCGTGGGAGGACTCAGCGAGCATCGGTTTCCACGCCGGAATTTGGGCTGGGCGCCGATGTAATTTCATACAGAAAAGAGATCTCCAGGCTGGTGCCAGCAAGTGGCAGCTCTGTGTAAAGGATATAGCCCTTATCATCTCCTCGTTTTAGGGTTCTCAGAGAAACTCCATCCCATCCCACAAACCAAAGCCCCGATAGGTCACAACATATTGCTCTTCATGGGGTCCAGGGCCTGGCAAGGGTGACACTTCTGTGGCCATAAGTAGGGTCTCTCCACAGCCACCCCATAGAGCTGGGGCTTCCCTGAGAGTTGTGCAGAGTGAGCTTGGGGGACTATGTGCACAGGATCTTAGGCCCCTGCAGTGTGTGTCTTTGGCCCCTGGCACCTTGATCAGCCTAGGTCATGTTACTCATGCTTTCACTTGGTGAACAACAGAGCTGCAGCCCAGGAAAAAGGCTAGACCCAAGGGCTGCCACCAAGTGTCCCAAGAGCACAGGGATGACCTCTCAGGGCTGCCCCGAACAGATAGAATGGGAGCCATATTTGTCATTTTAAATGTCCCAGTAGTTACATCTTTTTAAAAGTAAAAAGAAACAGGTAAGGCTAACTTTAATAATATAATTTTCTTAACCCAATGCGAAGTGTGATTGAAATACATGGTGAATGTTTAAATTCTTTAAAAAATTATTACAGTAAAAGACACATTGCCATTGATCTTCCTCAAAATCTTCCCCCTTTATTGAAACACATTTACCCCGTCATTCTTGCCACTTTCTGAAGCAGTTCTGGAAGTCCTCTTTCATGAGTGTCTTTAAGAGACGTGATAAAAAAATGTAGTGAATGTTGCTGCCAAGGGCCATCCAGCAGAAATTCAGGTCCCTAAAAACATGGTGGTGTGTCCTTGTCCACCTTATTCACCAGAGCTGATACTGGGACTCCTGACTCTCCCCTGAGTCAAAAAAGACCATGAAAGTTAAACATTTTGAATCAGTTCAGGACATTGAGGCAGCCACAAGAGTACAACTAAAGACACTCACAAAACAAGACTTCCAGAGCTGCTTCAGAAACTGACAGGAACATTAAGATAAGTGTGTTCGAAGCAAGAGGGAGTATTTTGATGGGGATTTGTGGCAATGCACCTTATACTATAATGTTTTTAAATTTAAGCATTCCATATTTTTTCCTTCATAACTCATATGTCTGAATTATTATCAATCCAACACATAATCAATATAAAAATTATAGAAATGTTTCTTTTATGTGCCTTTTTTTGTAATGTCTTCCCAGTCTAGTGTATCTTTTATGCCTATACTTTGGACTAGCCACACTTCAAGTGCCCAATAGCTGCACATGTCCACCTGATAAGACAATCCCAACTGAGAGGTCTTAAGGCCAACAGACAAACCCTCTTCAGAGAGAGAAGGTGGGCTGAGGTTGTATGGGATAATTCAGGGTGTGAGGGCCAGCAGGGCTGAGCCTGAATTCCAGCCTTCGGCCTCACCAAGTGTGTGGCCCTGGTCAACCCACTTGGCTTAGATCTCTCCCATTACCAAAATGGACTGTAAGGATCCTCTTCAGGTCTCACAGGATTTTTTGTTTTGTTTTGTTTTTGTAGTACTGGGCGTGGAACCCAGGCACTTCACACTGAGTTACATGTGAAGACTCTCACTAAATTACCCAGACTGAGCTGAAACTTTAGATCTCCCTACCTCAGCTTCCCAGAGTATCACAGGATTCTTATAACATCAGACAAGAAAATAAATGCAAAAGGGTTTTGCAGACTCTAAAGTATGTTGCAAGTTCAGATTTCTATTGATCATCCATTCCACATACATTTATTATTGCTATTATCACAGTTTAAGGGAAAATGCACTAACATAATCCTACCAATACTCAGGTTTTTTGTTTGTTTGTTTGTTTGTTTTTGGTACTGGGGATCGAACTCAGGTCCTTGGGCTTGCGAGGCAGGGACAGGAACCACTGAGTTAAATCCTCAGCCCAATACTCAGTTTTTAGTCACATAAGCTTCTTTTAAAACTATTCTGGCAGCTGTTAGCTGACAGAGAGGAAGGAAAGCTGAAGTTGTGGAACTTGTTGCTTTCAGTTCTTTTCTCTTTCTGTCTGTCCATTCATTGTTCCCTTCTGAAAGATCGCCTTGCTACACTATAGTCATCTTCACTGAGATGGATGACAAAGGTGTTCACAAAGAGCTAAATCAGAAATTAAACTTTTCCTTTTGTGAAGAAGAGTCTCAGAATGAAGGGCAGAAGACAACACAAGACAGCTTGAGGCTCTGAGCCAAAGCTCCAAAAAGAGTGAAGTTCAGGATGTGAAGACCTCAAGCCAAAGCCCCAAGAAGGGTAAGGTTTAAGATGTGAAGACCCTAACCCAAAGCCCTGAGAGGGGTGAGGCTCAGGATGAAGAGGTTCCCAGGACTCCCCTCAAGAACATACCTGAACTTGGCACATCTCAGGGGGAAGTCAAGGAACATCCAGATTCACTTCTGCAGACTCCAGGGTCACACCTTCCCAAGTGTCCTGTGACACCACCACCAGCCACCTATAGGAGCAGCCTGCAGCAGGATGACAATCTCTCCACTCCCAAAAGTCTGTTGAGCCAGCTGGTGATTTCATCAACAGGGAAGGTCCTCCCCCAAAGAGCTAAGCACTTGTGGCCCACACCTGCTTACCTCATGGATGAGTCCTCCTCACTGTCTCTAGTCAGTGTTAACCCTTTTACCCCTGAGTCCTATAAGAAATTATTCCTTAAATCAAAGGGCAAGAGGAAAACCCCAGGAGATTCTGAGGAAGCTGGTGCAAAGAAAGCCAAATTACAACAAGGGCTACCTGCCAAAAAAAAGTGTTCTACAAGAAGCTAACATGGCTTTCTGCTATGAAAAAGAAGTCTTGGAGCTAGAAAAAATTGGAGTTGGGAATTTGGTATAGTCTACAAGTGCACTGAGAGGCTGGATGGGTATGTTTATGCATTAAAGCACTCTACAAAACCTTTGGTAGCATTATCAAATGAGAATTTGTGTCTGCATGAAGTTTATGCTCATGCAGTTCTTGGGCATCACTCCTGTGTGGTATGGTACTATTCCTCATGGGCAGAAGATGACCATATGATCATTCAGAATGAATATTACAATGATGGAAGCTGGTAAGCTGCTATATCTGAAAACATCAAGTCTCATAATCATTTCCAAGAGCCAAAACTCAGAGATATTCTTCTGCAAACTTCCTTGGTGCTTAAATACTTCCACAACTCTGGCCTGTCACACCAGGACATCAAGCCTAGTGACGTCTTCATATGTTATAACATTCAAAGTGATTCTCCAGAAGAGGTTGAAAATGAAACTGATTGGTTTCTCTCTGCCAATGTAATGTATAAAATTGGTGACCTGGGCCATATGATGTCAATAATCAAACCTCAAGTGGAGGAGGGAGATGTTTGCTTCCTAGCTAATGAAATTTTGCAAGAGGATTATTGACACATTCCCAAAGCCAACATATTTGCCCTAGGATTAACAATTGCAATGACTGCAGGAGCGAAGACTTTACCCACCTGTGGTATAGTGTGGGATCATATCCATAACTTTCCAGATGTTTCTCAAGAGCTCACAGAAGATTTTCACAATTTGCTCAAGAATATGATCCACCCTGATCCAAGGGAGAGACCTTCTTCTGCAGCTCTGGCCAGAAGTTAAGTTCTCTGGCCCTCCCTGAAGACAACACAGGAGCTCCAGCAGCAGCCAAACTTGGAAAAGTCTAAGATAGCCATACTGGAAAGGGAACTGAGAAAAGTTCAGGAGGCCCAGATCTACCATGGCAACTCTGAGGTCTCTGTGGCCCAAACAGAATCAAGAAACACAAAACACCTGGTGGGAGGAAAAAGTGTGAAGTCTTCAAGCTTTACCTGTAGGCACTCTTCCCCATAATAACTCACTTCACACCAGCCAACTTTATTCCAGGAAGCCTCTGGAAAAAGATATTAATCACCCAATCTTCCTCTTACAAAATGGAAAAACTAACCTACTTGAATGTCCAGAGATTTCAAAAGTCACCCTAACATAGCATTTATAGCCAAGATCACAAAGCTACTTACTAAAGCTTCTTATTAGCAATGGTCTCAGGTACAGTAATTGGTAGCCAGTTTTTTCCTGATTGTTGTATTCCTGATGCTACTATCAACAACTTATATACTTCTTACATTTTCTGATGAATGAGAATACATGGGTGCTGAACTGAAAGAAAAAAATAGCCTTTGGCTTGGTCTATGGACTAAAATTGCTGTTGCCAATTTATCACCAAAGATCCCAGAAAGAAACAAAATTCGGGTTGAGTTGAAGTAAGACCTTACAAGAAAATGTGCCTGGATTTAGACAATGTTTCCCACATTATATGACGCTATTCCTAAGAGAATTTCCAGTCCCTCTGAGCAACAGTTTTCTTAATGTATTTTTGTGGATAGAGGTAACCTCTTTGATATTGTATTTATTAAATTAATGGCTCCACCATTTTATGAGGTGGGTAGAAATAAGACCTCAAATAGCGTGGATATGCTTGAGCTAGTTATTAGCTTGTGAACCAAAAATCCTGGAGATAGAGGGCTCAAGGGAAAGTTAATGTGGCTGTTCTGTCTCAGTCAATTTGTCTTAACCATCTTGGGGCTGTTGATTGGTTTTGATTTTCTGAATATCACCACTGTCTCTTGATTTTAGCAGAATTTGGCTTTGTTTCCTATGATTTTAAATATATTTTATTCAAATCCTTTTATGTGTACACTTTAAGGATAGAATATTTGTAAATAAGAGTTTTATCTTGTCCAAAGCTAAAAAAAAAAAAAAGCATTCTAATTATACTCCCATCTTAACTGTGTTATAAGCAGTTGGTATGAGGAGGAAGAGTTGAGGACATCAAACCCCTAGGCACAGACCAGGATCCATCTGATTCTGCCTTCCACACATTTTCAGGTCCCCACTTGCCAGATGGGTTCAGCACATTTCTGGGGAAAGCCTGCATAAGAATGTGGTTTCTTGAGAATTGCTTTATTAAAAGACAAATAATAGACAACAGGGAGAAATGGGAAAGAAACCAATTGGTGGAGGGAGGGCAAAGGGAGGGAAAGGGACAGGGACATAAAAAGAATTGAAATGTGTTATATACACATTCCAACTTCCCACAATGAATGTACTGAAAACACATACTAATATAAACAAAAATAAATTAACAATTTGGGAAGACTCTGGAAATGCAGAGAGAGGAGAGAAATTACTTTATTTACATTACTTGCTTAAGAACCTAGAAGAAACTAGGACCGCGGAGCTAGGCCAGAGAGGAAGAGAGTTATACAGAAGAAAATATTAATGGGCCAGGGATTTAGCTCAGTGGCACTGTGCCTGCCTTGCAAGTGCAAGGTCCTGAGTTCAATCCCCAGTACCAAAAAAAAAAAAAAAAAAAATTAATGATATTACAGCAGGATTCCATTTTGTTATACATTTAAAAAGAGAATTTGATATACAAGATATATCCATTCTAAGTGTTAGTTTATGGCTCATTTTTCTTTTTCCTTTTTGTGTAAGAAATTTGGAAGTTTCATTATGCAAGTTATAATATGTGCTCATTGTAGAAAAACAGAATCTATAGGTTTGAAGAAGAAGTCAATAAAAACGTGAAATTCTATCACCAAGAAATAATGACATTGATACTTTGATTTTTTCCAATTGTATTCCCTCAAATGCATAAATAGCCTAAATTTATTTTTGATGAAATTAAAGTAACAATGAAAACCAGGTGCCAGAAGAATAAAAAAATGATATACTTAAGAAAACCCATAACCAAACAAGAAACAGTCATTTATGTTGAATGAAGAGTGAAACACTGAAAGTAAGGAGGGAAGACACAGTCTTAGTTTTTTATCCTTTCCACTATTTTTTCCACAAAAAATGCAGATGACTTCTGTAACTCAAATTAACAAATTCAGTTAGTCTTTTAAGTGGTGCAAATAGTAACAGAGAAGGAGAGGGGCTGCGCTTGCAAAAGCAGCCAAGGTGTTAGGGCTGCAGGGCCAGGGGGTCTGTGGTGCCTGCACCCCGACTTCGCATTCACCTCTTCACCGTTGCGCTCTCTCCTGCCCCTTCTCCCAGAAAATGATGAAGGACAACAACCTGGTCCGCCACCTGGATGCCTGTGAGACCATGGGCAATGCCACGGCCATCTGCTCAGACAAGACAGGCACGCTCACTACCAACCGCATGACCGTGGTGCAGGCCTATGTGGGTGATGTCCACTACAGAGAGGTCCCCGACCCCAGCTCCATCAATGCCAAGACCATGGAGCTGCTGGTCAATGCTATCGCCATCAATAGCGCCTATACCACTAAGATCCTGGTGAGTGGGTCCAGCTGCATCCTGTCCTGGGGGAGAACTAACTATGGGGGTGGTGCACGGGTCCTGGGTTGGAATGTTCAACCCTTGCCAATAGATCCTGGGAAGGTCAGAGATGATAAGCAACTCTTTTCTCTTTGACTTAAAATTGCTATAGTGTTTGTGTAACTGAAAAAAAAGATTATCATTAATTATTATTATTTATTATTGATGATTTTTATTATGTTACTATTTTTTAAATCCTGAAATTCACCTACATACACATACAAAAACTTTTGTGTGTTAACTTGTTAGCTTGTTCTACGTGAAAAACTATTCTAAAACTTAGTGGTTCAAAATAAAACTGTGTCCAGATGGCCCTGCGTATCCACAGGTTCTGTATGCACTGATTATACACTGAACCAATCATGGATCAAAAGTATTCAGGAAAAAAACTTCCAGGTAAGCTTACAATGGTTGCATCTGTACTGACCATGTGCAGAATTTTCTAGTTGTTAGGCACTCAACAATACAATAACTATTTACAGAGTATTTATATTGAATGAGGTATTATGAGTGATCTAAAGATTTAAAGTCTATGAAAGTATTGCATAGGCTTTATGCAAACACTATGCCATTTTTTATAAGGGATTGAGCTTACACAGTGAATATCTGCTGACAGTCATAGACCCAGTCTCTTGTGGATACTAACTGCTATTTAGTACAAAAGCCCTGGGTTGGCATTAAGGCTGGGTTCAGCAAGGTGGCTCTTCTGATATCTGGGCTCCCTTGCCCATCTGCAGGGTTCAGCTGGATAGACCTGTCTAGCCTGGCCTTAGCTGGGCTGGCTCATCTCTGCTCTGCATGGTCTTGCCTCCTCCCACAGGCTAGTCTTGGGAACAGAATTCTGAGGGAGAACCAAAGTATGCAGACTCTGAACTGACACATCCTGTTGGCCCATGCAGGCAGGAGGCCATCCCAGGATCACAAAACGGGACATAGGGGCCACTTCTTTTGGGAGGGGATATAAAGGGTATAGATTCAGAGAGGAGACTAATTGTAGCCACTTTTACAGTCTGCCACTGATACTCTTGCTGTTGTTAATAGTAGTAATAGTACTGGTTTGGATAGGTGAAACCAGTCTCACTGTCTCAGCAAAGCTGCCCAGGTTCATCGTGCTAAGTTCTCTATTTGTTTAGAAGAGCAGGTGGCCTCTTTATAATTAACCACATTCAGATGACGGAAGAGAAACCCAGAATCTGCCCTTCCAGATGCCTGTGGGCATCCAGATGTAGGGCATTTCTAGCTTGTGTGCATCTATGGGTGACCAGCTGGGTTTTTTGTTTACTTTCCAAATGTGCCCAAGCCCCAGTCTCAGCCTTCACAATCAGGTCAGACTTTGGAAGCCACCAGTAGCTTTACTGAACCCGGGAGGAGCATGTGAGTCAGCAGCAAGGGACTAAGAACTGGTGAGGGAGGAGAGGGGGAGCAGGCAGCTCCTGAACCCTTAGCTGATCATCTACCCGAATCACCCTAGAGCTGTAGGCTCAAGGAGGCAGAATTGACAAAGGGAGAAAGTAGGTCAAAGAACATGTACAGTCAGAGGACAGAGACCCCTGGGGACAATGCCAGAAATGATGACATTTTGGTCTTCTTTCCCTCAACTTAGAAATTAAGGGAGATTAGCATGCTTTATTCTGTTCTTCAGGCCTTCCTAAAATAACTGAGATCCTGTTGGTGATTTCATCCAGAAGATGTGGCAGAAAGAGGAGTGAGGCAAATCCCAGAAGAGGCTTTGGGCAATGGGACAGCGACATGGGCACAGCCCTTTGGAATGGGCTTAGACTGAGATATATGCTATTCAGTTATAGCCAAGGGGAACTCTTGGGGTCTTCAGGACTGGCTCCACAGAAAGGTGTTATGCGAAGAGCTTCAGAAGATGGCAGTGAGACTCCAATCTCACCTCTGTCTTGGGGCACTGATGCCATGTCCCAGGAGTCAGCCAGTGTATTTAGGGCAGGGTACAGCTGGTGAGGTCCAAGAGAGACCAGGCACTTGGAAACTAGGGTCTTTGGTTTGTAATGCAAGTCAAGGTTACTTACTTCTTGAGCACCAGAGTCCCACTACACCTCAAACACTGGCATCCAAAGGAGGCCCCCTCTCCTATCTTTCTGGAACATTCTTGAAAGTACCCTGTCTGTATGGTGCTTTTTCTGTGAGCTGACAACCATCAGTATGAGAAGCTCAGAGCAGCAGAGCCCCTGGTGGAAGTAAACAGGGATTAAAACTGCTGTGCTGGAGTCAGACTGTCTGGATGCAGCCTCTCACTTACTAGCTGTGTGAATATGGACAAGTAACTTAAGCTCTCAAGTTACTTGGTCCCAAAATCCTGGGGGAAATAATAGTATTATTGTGAGGATGAAATTATTTAGTAAGTGGAAAGTGCTTAGCACAATGGTTGGCACATAATTAGTATGCAGTCCAACTCCTGTTACTCAGCAATAAAATCACCCATTGAAAAAAGATTCCATCTGTAGCAATGCAGATGCTAAAAAATAAGTAAACAGACAGCAGAGACAGCTGAGCTAGAGAGGGAAAAGATTTCACCCAAAGCCACACACCCAACTGTGACAAAGGCAGACTGGCTAACCCAAAGCCAGCTGTTGAGTCAGGATGTCCAGACTTGTTTCCTGTCCATTGGAACCAGTCCTGCAGCATCTTTAGCCTATGGTGGTCTTGGGAACAAGGGAGCGTCACACTGATATCCTGCCAACCAGATGGGGCAAAGAAGCTCTGAAGGGGCATCATTTCTAGGCCCAGGTAAACACTGAGAAGAGGCTGGGGCAGCTCAGTCCAGGGCAGAAGTCCAGCCACCCTCCAGACCAGGCTAGGAGAGCTAGACTGCAGAACATCCAGAAAACATGCAAGAGGAGGTGGGCAGGAAGGACACATAATGTCCTTCAGTTTCTTTGGCTGGCAGCTCAGATTAGGAAATGAGCCTGGACTGGGAAAATGAGGCCCTGGGCTGCTGCATGCTCTTCCCCTTCACAAGGGCACCAGTTCCTCAGTGTCTTCTTGCTGTCAGGGGCAGGCTGTGGGCCTTTTGACACCAAGAGTCTCCTCTAGGCTCCTGGCGTGGGGTTCTAGGAAATAGAGGGTGGATGGATGGGGTAAGTGAATTAATTGGTAAATAAATATACAAATATATAATTGATGAGAGAGTAGATAGAGGGATAGACAAATGGAGAGAAAGGGGTGGGGTGGATGGATGGATGAATGGGATGATTGGATATGTTGGTAGATAGATGAATGGATAAGTGGGTGAGGAGATGAGTGAGTATGAGTTGATAGGAGTCTCAGGAAAGGACTTATACCTCTTCTTACAGAAACAAAATATAGAGGTTGGCCCCAGATCCAGTCTGTGGTTGACACCAGTGCTCTGTGGGTAGTACCTGCTGGCTGAGCTGCACTTTTCTGCAGCTTCCCTCAGCCATCCAGGCTGCATTCCTTGATCCAGAAAACTCCTGATTTGTTGGTGTCTTTTGTTCTTTTAAAACACAAACCAACAACTAGATGAGTGCTTACAAGGGTAGATTGTGTAGACGTCACATACATGGATTCATAGATCATGCTGACCACCTAGTCCAGCCCCTTCACTTTTCTCTAAGGCCAAGAAATGGGAAGGAACTTGTCCCCAGTTATCCCCTTGGTTAGTAGTGTTTAAATCCAGATGTTCTACACCTAGTGCAGGAGGTGATGGTTAGGAGCTTTGGCTGTAAAGTCAGAGACACCAGGGTTCAAACCCCAGCTCCAGTGTTCACCATATGTGTGACCTTGAGCCAATTGCTTAACCTCTCTGAGCCTGCAGATTGTTTCCTAGTCTGTAAAGTGAACAAATCATTAGCCAGGCTCAGTACTGAGTGCTTACCTTATATTGCCTTGTATGACAACTCTACTTGGAAGGTGGCAACACACCCCCAACTCATGAGACCCTGGATCTGGCAGCAGCTAGGAACAGGCCTGCATCCCAGGGCAGGTAAGAGGCTGAGCTAGGAATGGAACCCAGGTTTGTGTGCCCAGGGCCTGTGTAGCTGGACCCCTGCCTAGAGGCTGCTCAGCGCTGCTTTGAGCTTCAGATTAGGTTCATGTAGGCAGAGTCCACAGCATGGTGCTCAGCATACAGCGAGCACTCAGCTTGTTGCTGTCTCCACCTCCAGGATTCTTGCTGAGCCTGACCCAGAGTAGTTTGCTTTGCCAGCAACTGTCTTGCTTGTCCCTCTGCATCCCTTTCATATCATATGACCAAATCGGATCACTGCCATTTTACAGCTAGGAAAACTGAGCTACAGAAACATCTGGTAACCTGCTCCCAACCACCAAGTGGCACAGTTGGGCCTAGAGGATTCCAGAGAAGTCCAGTGAGGGGCAAAGGAATGCCAGCAGGCACAGCCCCCAAAGTCCACACTTGAAGACATGTGGCTCTCTCAGGAAGTGTGGTAGTCTGTGGCCTGGACATTTCTGCAGGGCCATACTGAGGAGGTGGGAAGGCTGGGGCAAGCTCAGGAGCATCGGATAAGCCCCTGACAGGCTTGGTCCTCCCAGGACGCCCAGTCCAGGCAGAGGGGATATAGGAGCCAAAGCTACGGCAGAAGGATAGGAAAAGAGGCCCCAGAGGTCAGCCATGGCCCCATGCTCTGTTCCTTCTGAAAACCACAGGGGCCTTTTTCTTTCCTCTCTTACTTCTAATCATTAGGAACTTAACGTCTCCAACGGAAGCTGTGTGAGTCATCTTGTAGTCAAAAATCACTTACCTGCCTCACAAATTCTGGCACAACCTCAGATTTCCTTTGTGATCTCCAGCCTTTGAGCATCAAGACTTCCTCTGACTTCTTATTGCCTGCCAAAGCCCTTCCTTCTCTGAGCCACAGCTGAGTTTTCAGACGTAGAGCACTTTCTTGGGGAAGCATTTACCTTCCCTGCCGACACTTATTCTGCATACTGAAGCCACCCAAGCCTGCTTGAGT